CAAAAGAAGGCTCAAAGAATACACCTCCACCAAACCAGCACTCCAAGATGTGCTAAAGGGACTGCTTTAAGAAAAGGAAGAAAAAGAGTGAGAGAGAGAGAGGAACACAGGTACAAAGGAAGTAAATGTCAATGAATAGATACCTATAAATAATAACCTTAAACATAAATCGATTAAATGCTCCAATCAAAAGACATAGTATAGCTGATAGCTGAATGGATAAGAAATCATGACCCATACATAAGCTGGCTACCAGAGACCCACCTCAGAACAAAACACCTACACAGACTGATAGTCTGAAGGGTTGGAAGGGTTGGAAGAAATATTCCAAGCAAATGCACAGGAAAAAAAAGCTGGGGTAGCAATACTCATATGAGAAAACATAAACTCCAAAACAAGTGTCATAAAAGGAGACCCAGAAGGTCACTTCATAATACTCAAGGGAAGAATCCATCAAGAAGATGTAAACATCATAAATATATATGCACCCAACATAAGAGCACCCAAATACATAAAGAAAATCTTGGAGGATGTCAAGAAAGATATTGAAAGCAACACAATTATAATAGGGGATTTTAACACCCCACTGTCAAAATTGGGTATATCTTCCAAACAAAATATCCACAAGGATATTGCGGCATTGAACAATACCTTAGATCAAATGGACTTAACTGATATGTATAGAACTTTCAACCCAAAGAAGCAAAATATATATTCTTTTCTAATGCACATGGAACATTTTAAAAGATAGACTACATGATAGCACACAAAAGAAGTTTCAACAAAATTCAAGAAAGTTGAAATCATATCAAACATTTTTGTGACCACAAGGTACTGAAACTAGAAACCAGCCTCAAGAAGAAAACTCAAAAACACTCAAACTCTTGGACATTGAATAGCATGCAATTAAACAATGAATGGGTTAAGAATGAGATCAAGGAAGAAATAAAAAAGGCTCTGGAAACACATGAAAATGAACTCACAACAATTCAAAACTCATGGGACACAGTGAAGGCAGTCCTGAGAAGGAAGTTCATAGGGATACAAGCCTATCTAAAAAAGATAAAAACATTTCAAATAAACAACCCCTCTCTACATGTACAAGAACTGGAGGAACAACAAAAAAGACAGCCCAGAGCCAGTAGAAAGAAGGGAATAACCAACATCAGAGCAGAATTGAATGGTATAGAGACTAAAGGACCAATTCTAAAGATCAGTAAATCCAAGAGTTGGTTCTTTGTAAAGATAAACAAAATTGACAAGCCTTGAAGCAGATCCATCAAGAAAAAAAGAGAGAGAGGACCCAAACAAACACAATCAGAAATGAAAGAGGACAGATTACAATTGATACCACAGAAATACAAAAGATTGTAAGATATTACTATGAAGAACTATATGCCAAGAAATTTGAAAACCTTGGTGAAATAGTAAAATTTTAAGAAATATATAATCTTCCAAAACTGAAAAAAGAAGAAGCAGAAAGTCTGAGGAGACCAATAAAGGCTGATGACATCAAAGCAGTAATCAAGAAACTCCCTGCACACAAAAGCCCTGGACCAGATGTTTTCACAGGAGAATTTTACAAAGCATTTAAGGAAGAGCTAACACCTATCCTTCACAGACAATTCCAAAAATCCCAAGAAGATAGAAGACTCCCAAACTCTTTTAATGAAGTCACAATCATCCTAATCCCCAAACCAGATAAAGACACAACAATGAAAGAAAACTACAGGCCAATATCACTGATGAACTTAGATGCTGAAATCCTCAACAAAATTTTGGCAAAATGCATCCAGCAATACACTGAAAAGATCATACATCATGATCAAATGGGATTCATCCTAAGGATGCAAGGATGGTACAATATTCACAAATCAATTAACATAATACATCACATAAACAAAAGGAAAGATAAAAATCACATAATCATATCAATAGATGAGGAAAAAGCATTTGATAAGTTACGGAACCCATTTATGATAAAACACTCAGCAAAGTGGGACTAGAGGGGGCATAATAAAGCTTTATTATGTTCCTCAACATAATAAAAGCCAAAAGCAGGAGACCTACAGCCAACATCATACTCAATAGGCAAAAACTAAAAGCTTTCCCAGTAAGATCAGGAAGAAGATAAGGATGTCAGCTTTCAGCATTTCTATTTGATATAGTATTGGTAGTCATCGACACAGCAATCAGAAAAGAAAAAGAAATAAAAGCCATACAAATTTGAAAGGAGGAAGGGAAAGTGTCATTGTTTGCAGATAACATGAGAGTGTATATAAAACATTCTATAGACTCCACCAAAAAAAAATACTCAACTTAATAAGCAAATTTGGCAAAACAGCAGGATACAAAGTCAATATTCAGAAATTAAAGACATTTTTGTACACCAAAAATGAAATATCAGAAACAGAAATCAGAAAAAAAAATCCCACTTGATATAGCAACAAGAAGAATAAAATACCTAGGAATAAACCTAACCAAAGAGATAAAAGACCTAGACTACACACCACTGAAGAAAGAAATTAAGGAAGACAAAACAAACGGAATCATGTACCATGTTCATGGATTGGAAGAACTGACATCATCAAAATGTCCATACTACCCAAAGCACTTTATAGATTCAACACAATCCCTGTTAAAGTACCAATGGCATACCTTACAGATATAGAACAAACACTTCAAAAATTTGTATGGAACCACAAATGACCCCAAATAGCTGCAGCAATTTTGAGAAAGAAGAGCAAAGTAGGAAGCATCACAATACCTGATATCAAACTGTATTACAAGTCCACTGTAATCAAAACAGCCTGGTACTGGTATAAGAACAGACACACGAACCAATGGAACAGAATAGAGAGCCCAGAAATAAACCAAAGTCTCTATGGTCAATTAATATTTGACAAAGGGCAGCAGCATAAAATGGAGTAAAAATAGCCTCTTCAACAAATGGTTTTGGAAGATCTGGACATCTACATGCAAAAAAATGAAACTCGAGTACCAACTTACACTCTATACAAAAATAAATGCAAGGTGGATAAAAGACTTAAATATAAGTCAAAACACCATAGAAATCCTACAGGAAAATATTGGCAGGAAAATCTCAGACATTCCAAGCAGCAACATCTTCACTGATATGTCCCCTAGATCAAGGAACATAAAGGAAAGAATAAACAAATGAGACCTCATCAAATTAAAAAGCTTTTGCATTGCTAAAGAAAACAGCATTAAAATGAAAAGAGAATCAACTGTATGGGAAAACGTATTTGCCAATAATACTTCAGACAAGGGTTTGATCTCCAAAATATATAAAGAACTCACATGACTCCACTCTAAGAAGACAAATAACCCAATTAAAAAATGGGCAAAAGACCTAAACAGACAATTCTCCAAGGAGGACATACAGACAGCACAGAGACATATGGAAAGATGCTCAGCATCACTAGCCATCAGGGAGATGTAAATTAAAACCACAGTAGGAAAATACTTCACACTGGTCAGAAAGGCCATCATAAATAAATCAACAAACAAGTGTTGGAGAGGAGAGGAGAAAAGGGAACCCTAGTGCACTGTTGGTGGGATTGCACACTGGTGCAGCCACTGTGGAAAACAGTATGGAATATTCTCAGAAAACTAAAAATGGAATTGCCTTTGAATAATGTAATCCCAGCAGTGGAATGAATTGCAATTCCACTGCTGGGATTATATCCTAAGAATACTGAAACACCAATTCAAAAGAACCTATACACCTCAATGTTCATAGCAGCACAATTTATAATCACCAAGTACTGGAAGCAACCTAGGTGCTCATCAGTAAATGAGTGGATCAAAAAAACTGTGGTACACTTACATGATGGAATACTATGCAGCAGGAAGAAAGATGGAACACCTACCTTTTGTGACAGTATGGATGGAACTGGAGAGCATTATGCTAAGTGAAACAAGCCAGGCAGTGAAAGACAAATACCATATGATCTCACCTATAATTGGAAACTAATCAACAAAACAAACAAGCAAGCAAAATGCAAGCAGAGATATTGGAATAAAAAACAAACTGACAGTACCCAGAGTGAAGGTGGGAGAGGATAATGGGTGGAAGAGTGAAAGGGTTTTCAGGAACAACTATAAAGGACACATGGACAAAAATCCAAGTGGGGCTGGGATGGGGGGAGGTGGGGATGGCTGGAGTTCGGGGGAGTGGTGGGGGAAATGCAGACTATAGTGAACAATGAAAAAAAAAAGTCAAGTATCTTATTAAACATAATTAATGAGGCAACTAGGAAGATACTTCAACTGATTCAAAGGAGAATTCAAGAAACACACACAACAGGCAATCAAGAATACTGAGATGAATTTACAAGTACTTGAAAAATTGGTTGATATTCATGGGGATATTAACTGCATTCCATTGATCAAAATTTATTTGAATTTCTATGTTCAAGAATTATTTGAGCTACCATATTATTTTCTATATTTTAAGTTGTAAACTAGCTCAAAGATAGTAAGACTGGCCAGTTCCTATAACAATCAGATAACCTGGAAGTGTTACTAGACATCTTTTTTTTGTTCATTTCAAAATTTTTGCAATATTTTCTGACATAACTATTATTATCTCCATTTTCTTTTTTTTAAGATTTTATTTGTTTATTTTTAGAGGGGAAGGGAGGGAGATAGACAGAGAGAGAGAGAAACATCAATGTGCAGTTGCTGGGGGTTATGGCCTGCAACCCAGGCATGTACCCTGGCTGGGAATAAAACCTGGGACACTTTGGTTCCCAGTCCATGCTCAATCCACTGAGCTACGCCAGCCAGGGCTTATTATCTCCATTTTCAATTGAGGAAATAGACTCATAGTGACTATGTGAGTTGAGTTGTCTACAGTCACAAAAAGTATAAATGACAATGTCTTGGTTCAAACTCATCTTTCACCACTCTGAAATTAGAATGGCTTTATTTGGAGGGCTTGGATTTGTATTTTGCTCTGTTTGTTTGTCTTTTAGGGGATGAATAATCAATACATCCGTCGGGAAGTCTTCTGCTGTGAAACGTGTCACGAGCTCAAAAGCTTCTGGGAAAAAGAAATTAGCAAACAGACTTGTTACCGGGAACTGGAAGAAGATCGTCAGGGAAGGAGCGCCCTGAAAAAGTATGTGGGTTGTTTCTCTGCTACTTCTGAAGAGTAGATTTCCCTGGAAATAGACCAGATGTGAAGGTGGGGAGACTAAATTGTTTTCATTACCCACTCTTCTAAGAATGAGGTCTCCAGGCTGGCAGGGTCACCATATGCCGTGCAGAGCCACAGAGATAGCACCAGGTTTTGATCAAGTGGCAGAAAACAGAACAAATGGGAAAATCTAAGTCAGAGCCTTTAATGGAGTTTCCATGGGTAAGGCAAGGAAGGAGTGGGTAAATAGTTTAAGACTGGCTAGTTTGAATAATTCTAGAGGGCATTAGTCTACAGATGTGGTCCCTAGTTGCCTGGTACCTGGCTCTACAATGATTTAGGACAGGGGAAATATGACCTCATGTATGACAGTTAGATAAGGAAGTGGTTCAGGGAACAGATGCAGGATTGGTTTAGATGCTAGCAGTCAAGGATTTTGTTCTCTGTAAGAAAGGGCAACCCTGAGAAGGGCAGTCTTTCTGTGGCCAGGAAGATTTTTAAGATGTCAGAACATCATAAAATATAGAAAGTTAAAGACATGACTAAATCATCTGTTTATTCAATCTTACTACAATCTATACCAGGGTTTCTCAACCTCAGCATATTTGACATTAAGGGCCAGGTAATTCTTTGTTGTGGGGGGAAATCCTGTGTTTTTTAAGGTGTTCATCAGTATCCCTCAAAACATTAGATGCCAGTAGGACTGCCTTGCCCCACTGTGGCAACCTAAAATATCTCCTAACATTAACAAATGCCTCTGGAAGGCAAAGTCCCCCCAACTGAGCACCAATGTCTTGTATATAAAGATGAACATTTTTATGTAAATAAAAATGAGGTTCTGTCATTTATAATACCTTGATGAGCTAAAAAAATCTTCTTCATCCCACCTCTGTTGCAATCCCCAGCACATGAGGTAATATTAAATTTCAGAATTAGATCAATATATATGTGTAGGTGTGAAAGATCCCACATCTAGAATGATACATATTAAGATATTGGGGGAAGGCTAATGTGGTCTTTTCCTCATTGACAAACGAACTTGTTCTAACCAAAGGATTCTGCTCAGAAGGGAACATTTACTTATATGAGAAGACATGTGTCATATGTGTCAAAAATGCTCTGACTAAAAGGGTTTTCAGGGACTGTCTGGGATTTTCTGTCTCTAAAATATAAACAGCCCAGCCAAGCTGTCTGTTTGTCAAAATGTCCACTCACAAGGGGAGTGGGAGCTGAGTGTTCTGCTAGTCATCATGGCACTGTGTCTCCACATTTCTGAGCATGCTGAGCTGAAAATATATGTAATTACAAGTGTTGAATCAACACTAAACTTATAAAAAACCTTTCTTAAGCCCAAAGGAGAAATAGCATTTCTTTATAACCAGAGAAGAACTCTGCCATCATTCCAGCAAGCAAAACCAGGCTTTTTCACATGCTGGAAGATTCACATGTTAAAGTATCTAGTCCTGGAGATTGCAGGAGAGCAAAATGAGTCAGTTGTGTGGTCCCTGCCATCTTCCTCCCCTCACTCCTTGTCCACAAGCCCACTGGGAACGAGATCCCAGTATGAACGCTGTACAGCATCTTCCCTTCAGAAGCTTGGGGGTGCAATATTAAAAGCAAAACTTGCAATGTGATGTGATGTTTGTCAAAATATTTGTATATAAATACACACACAAAGTCAATCTATATGTGTAGAAAAAAAGTTAGAAAAATACACTCAGATATTAAGAGTGGTGATATTTGACTGGTGGGATGGCAGATATTGTATGTGTATGCCTTACTTTGTCCAAAGCTTCTATAATGATATGGAGACATTTTGTAATTAGGAAAAAAAATTATACAAAAGGTAGTCAATTACAAATGGTACATAAAACAAATTCATTAATTCTCCAGGCTCCCATATGCCACAGAAACAATCCCCATCAAAGTTCGAGATAGGTTGGCTTCTTTCCACAGGCAAAAGAAAAAATCTTCAAAATGTGCTCATCACATTTGTGATGTAGCACTGAAAGATTTCATCATTATATCCCCCCCCCCCCCCGCCAAAAGTTTAAAGACATGGGCAAAGCAGCTGCATTGCTTGGAGCAGAGGAAGATCTAAGGAGCAGAGGAGTAGGGACAGCTTCCTGTTTCTCCTCTTCTGTTCTGAGCCTCTCAGAACTATTGCCCTTATAAACCATGAATAAAAAATTCAAAAGCCATCTTAATTTGGTAAACAATAAATGATAACTTAGCAGTTTTGTCATTATTTTTGCCAAAAAGCAAAAACAAAACAAAAAGCATCCACATATATCTCTAATAAACCTGGTTGCACAAATAATATATAAATGTTTTGACCAAACCAGAACTAAGAACATTTGTTTAAATCGTGCTGATGTGATCAGAGAGTTCGAAATGCAGTGTACCCTTGCAAACCAATGAATGCCATAAACCTCCTGAGCCCTACTCTAGCCCCATGGGCTATGCCTCCCCAAACTGCACATCCCCAACACACACAAGTGCACACTCTCAGCACACACATCCTTTTTTAGTCTACCCTCCAACTCTATAGGCAAATTCATTCAAGTCACTGTGCAATTAAGAAATATTCTAAGTGAACAGTAGAAGACAAAAAACTCAAAAATTTCCATCACCCCTATTGTTGATATAACAAAGTCAATATTACTTTATGTTGCTCTCACAATGCTGAGCCCAACAAGAACTTGTGCCAAAGGTGCATAGAAGGAAACAAGTGTTTTGTCATGGACATGCTCATTAACACATGCCTGCAGGTTTACTGACTAAGAAAAATGTGATAATTGAGGTATCTGGCAGAGGCCCTGGAGGTGAGATCTCTAGGAGAAGTGTGAAATTCGATTACTCTCTCTGAATCAAACTAGAAAGAAGCAACACAACATAGGTTGGAGAAGTTGAAAACTGTTTGCCAATAACTGATTGAGGGAATCTGGGAAAAGTCAAGTGTAGCAAAGGTATGAGATGGCTAAAACTCCTGGTTTGTTGGGACAGTCTAGGTATACATCTATCATTTTGTTATAATTATAGATTGTACTCTCTTTTATTATCAAAAGTATTTCAGTTTAGATGACAAATTATATTTTTTAAAGATATTTTTTTAAATTTATTTATTCTTTTAGAGAGGGGAAGGGAGGGAGAAATAGAGTGAGAGAAGTATCAATGTGTGGTTGCCTCTCACATGGCCCCCACTGGGGACCTGGTCCGCAACGCAGGCATGTTCCCTGACTGGGAATTGAACTGGCAACACTTTGGTTCACAGCCTGTACTCAATCCACTGAGCTATGCCAGCCAGGGTGTTAAATGACAAATTATATTAATACCTAAGTCTAAATGACTGGACTATAATCATAACTGAGAAACATACAGTGCTTATATACAATAGTACAGTCTTCAAAATACCTCTTAAGAATTTAGTAGAACTCATAGTGTCAAGTAGACATTAAATATAGTGGACTTGAGTGGAGAGAGAAGTTTATCAAGCTTTGATAACTCAAGATCACTCATCTCCCTCTGCTCAGATTCCTGCTTATCAACTGTGTTAATCAGAATGCTTTCAGCTGCAGGTAACAAAATATTCCACTCATAACCTCCTACAGCCAGATGAAATAATTATTTCAAACTTTTTATAAAATAAGATTTAGTCTTCAAAGAACAACTAGTGAGAAAAAATTTAGTTAGATTTTTTTATTCAAGCTGAAGGGGTAAGGAAAGTGGCTGATAAATTGAGTTGGTCTGTTGGGTGTGCTGAGGCTGACAGCCTGTGTTGATTGTTGACACGATCTGCCCTATAACCAGATCCAGCCAGTAAGTTGCAGGTCGGTCACAAGAAAACCAAAATCAGATCTATCTATCCTCACTAAGAGAAAACCACTGTAAAGGCATATTCATTACTGTACTGGAGTAGGAGCAGCAAAATCATCATCTTACCTTCCATATTAAAACAAAAAGTTCAGAGATTACAATTAGAGTACTGAGATCTGAAACAGGAGACCAAGAACTTAAACAGTAAATTCCTTCATGATGGGGATTATTATTTTACTACTCTTCTTTATATATTGGGGTAGCCACAAAAGTGCTCTACTCAGAGGTTCTTCAAGATAACTTGCAATGGAGAGCATAGCTGACTGAAAGCTCTAGCTGCCACCTTTTTGGATCTCCCTTTCTGTTTGAGCCTAGGCCACTAACCTCCAACTGCTCTTAAACAATGACTGGTCAGGGCACAAGTAACTAGTCCTGGGCAATTTTTAGGTGACAGGGCTCCTCAAATGGGTGACTTTTGCTCAGGGTTACCCCGTTGGCCCAGGCCACACTCTCTCAGAATTCTGCTGTGGTGTGGGGCTCTTCCTACCTAAGCATTGCTTCCTTCTTTTTGTCCTTTCATAGGATTCAAGTCTGAAGGCTCTCTTACCACTTCAGTTCCCTTCCACCCTCCATTTTTTTGTGAGTGATTACTCCAAATCTGCTTCTTGGAGGACTCAAACTGACACATACATATAGTGACTAGCACATGAGAGAAAAAATCTATGTGCCTAACTGATCTTCACTGGTTCCCAGTGAGAACATTATGATTCTGGTTCAAGAATCACATGAATACCATTGTACTTTCTAATCAAACCTCATATTTATCAAGGATAATTTGTGTTCCTAGATATTAACTACAACTCTTCCACAAATCAAGTAAATCAAAAACAATAAACAGGAGACATTATTTCATTTCCATTTGAAAAGAGAGATCAATATTTCTAGGCATAAGGAAAAAATGTTTTCTTTAAGCTTTAATGTCAGTTGTATTGATCCTCTACTGTATCTGAGTCTGTACAGCCAAATTTTAAGCATGATCTTGCTCATATTGTCTTTTCTTACTACAAATACTCACCACCCAAAGACAAGTGGAAATGACACAACAGTGAAAGATATTGACCAGAAAGGAGCAGCAAACGGTCTAAATATTCATAAAACAGTTTGTA